TTCAGCAATGAGGCCACTAAGGCACATGAGCCATATGTAGACAAGAGTTGGGCGACTGAGTACATCAGAGGGTGCCAGTAGGAGAACCAAGTCACTCTTGAGGAATGAAAGGGACAGCGTTAATTACCCCAGGGCAACAGATGTAAATGGCCTATCCCAGGCAATCTGGAACACAAAGGTAACCTACTTTTAATTAGCTGAAGTGCATTGCAGTGAGTCTACCGCAAGCTCTAGAGGGCTGAGCAAGAACCCTGTGTGTGGATTGCTGGACATGAGTGGGTGGCCAGGGAGGACCTCACTGAGTGCTTGCAGGAGGGGAGAGGCAGCCACATGGGCATCTGGGAGAAGAGCAGAAGGACAGCCAGCACGTGCCCTAAGGCAGGATTGTGCAGGCGTGCCCAGGAACAACGAGGAGGCCATTGCCACTGGAGCAGAGTAGTCAGGGCAGGCAGGCAGCTGAGTGCATAAGGTGCAGAGCCTTGTAAGCCATTGGAAGATGTTGGCTTTATTCTGAGCACAATAGGGAGCTATTGCAGGCTTTTGAAGAGAGGAGAGAGAGACCATCTCACATCTGAGGGTCGCTTTATTGAAATAATACTGTAGAAAATCAAAGTTGGAAACATGGAGGACAGTTAGGGTGCTAGTCCAGTAATTCAGGCCAGCAGTCAAGGGCCTCGGATCTGGGAGGCTGCACTGGGCATGGTGAGCAGTTGTCAGATTCTGGATCTATTTGGAGATAGAGCCTGGAGATTTCCTGATGGGTTGATGGACCTTGAATTAGCAGAGACAGGAGTCGAGGCTGACTCCTGGGCTTTTCTCTTAGCCTTGAGATAGAGAAAGCTCCCTGGTGGAGCAGGTTTGGGAGATCAGTGATCCAGGCAGATGTCCAGGCAGGGGTGCTGAGCAGGCACTTGGGTGAAGGAGTCTAGGGTTTAGGAGAGAGTTCAGGGTGGAGATTCAGATGCCAGAGTCATTAGCATATAATTGGGACTTCTTCAAGAATGGGTGGCCTCCAACCCAGATGGACCCAAACAAGAAATGTTCTGTTTTGGGGGGCTGGCGTTGTGGCTCAAGCGGTAGTGCGCTGGCTTGGCATGCGAGCGGCCCCGGTTCGATCCTCAGCACCACATACAAACAAAAGATGTTGTGTCTGCCGAAAACTAAAAAAAATATATATAAAAAAAGAAATGTTCTGTTTTTCCTTCTGTTTTCATTTTTATGACTTAAGGTAAAATGGAAGTGACAACAAGAATACTATATAAAGCTAGTGTGTCTGCAGTGCCCTTTGAAGGATTTGTTTTGCTTTTGTTACACAATGCCGTTTCCTTCACCTCCATAAGGGAAAAAAATTGTAAACTACTAAGTTGCGTAACAGGATGCCTTTGAGAAATCATTTTTATTAAGTGAACAATGACAACTTCCCCTTCTTCCTACCTTTTACATTTTTAACACAAGTTCTGCTTTTCATGAGCCAGTTGACTTGGAATGAAAGGTCTACTTGGACCAGCAGTGAGCCTAGGCATAACTTGTCCCTAGGTGGCGCCCCAGCTTTGTGCTACCAGGGTCCCCTTCTCAACAGCAGATCAATGCAGCAGCTCTCGGGAAACATCCTTCTCCTGTCTTAGGAACTGAAGGGGAAGGGAATCAGCAGTAAAGAAACCCAGGGCAGCAGGTGGGAACAAATGTCCCCACCCTGGCCAGTGCCCCAGTGGCCTATAGCCAAGGAAACTTCCCTTCACTTCTCAGTGAAAGTGCAGCAGAGGTGAAACCCAAAAGCTAGGGAGTCCAGGCTGACCGAGCCTCTGAGCGAGCAGATCACAGACCCTCTCAGAGGCACTGAGCATCAGAGCAAGTGAGGACAGCTCCACTCCTGCTTCACCAGCTGAGAGCAGAGGAGAGGTGCTGGGGACACAGTCTGCAGAGCAGGGAAGATGGGACTGCAATCATGACATCCCTACACATCTGCCCCCATGGAACCCAGGGGTTCCACTGACTCTCCCTGGCCCCTGTATTTATCAGACGGCCCACAGCTGCCCAGCCTCCCTCCTGCCAACAGTCAGGGTACAGGGCTTCTTCTCTACCTGACCTCACTTTCCTGGACAACATCTGGCTGGGAAACAGCTAGGGCACACAGATGGGGCAACAAGTGCTCCTTCCCCAAGGACCACCAGGCTGCAGAGGCGAGAACGCTGCCATCAGCTCCATTCACACACCCTAGTGCCTCTGGTCTGACAGCCTCAGTGAAGACACAAGCATGTGATGGTTGAATCTTTCCAGGAATACAGCCAGCGTGGAGGATGAGTCCCCACCTGTCTGCTCTGCAGCATCTCCTCTCCCCATAATTCCACTGCATTCCCTAAGATCAAAGGGAACTCATGAGACAGGTTCCTCTGAAGCCAGTTTGGCCTGAACTCAGCACAGCCAGCATGCAGACACATTCCAGAAGCCTGGACTGGTTTAGAAACAAGTGGCACTGGCAAGAGCAAAATCTGAACTTGAGATTTGAACATGCAGTTCCCTGGGAGCCTTCAAGAGAAGATAACATCAGTGAGGGAACATGCCGATACCAACAGCAAGCTCTTCTGGCTGTTCACTCACACACACACACACACACACACACACACACACACACACACACACTTGGAGTCATTCCTAAGACTACTTTTGCAGATTACATAGACAAACCATTCCCCAGGATATGAGACCCACGGTGCAGATAAGACGGAACTCAATCTCAAACCATTCTAACCTTTGTACCTAGTCCAATCACATGCCCAGTGGTGGGTCCCCAGGTAGACTCAGGGGTCTAGGCTTTCATCTTCTGGAGAGAACTAACAATACCCCCAGCCTTGCCATCTCCTGACCACATGCATCAGGTCCCTGCCCAGTGGCTTTTTGCTCCCCAAACACAACTTAGAGCCCTGAGCCCATGCAGACCTGCCCAGCCCTGAGAGGAAGCAGTCCACCAGAGGGGAGGAGTTCCCTTCCGTATTCTGCTAGTCCAGCATGGATGTGAACTCCATGAGGGCCTGGGCCCGTGGGCTGCTCTTCTCACTGTGCTGGGAACAGGTCTCCCTTGGAGGAGATAATGACTGAGTGAAACAAGACCATGTGAGGAAGGACCCCATAGAACATTCTAAGTCAATTTTACAACCAGAGGAGGAAGTTGTCTTTATATGGGTGCAAAGCAACTTGTTTTCACCAAACAATTATATAGGGTGCAAACAAATCTTAAGACCAGAAATGTTTACAATTTCCTCAGTAAACAGGAAAAATAGTGCTTTAAGCTATAGCACACTGCTTTATGTTTAAAAACCACACAGACAGCTGATAATATTGTGTAAAATATTTTGTTTAGAGGGTAAATCTCATGTTACATGTTCTTACTGCATTAAAGGAGAGTATGAGGAAATTTGGGAGGGGGTGATGAAATCCTTCTATAAATAGATTTATTACCTTGATATGGTGATGATTTCAGAGGTATTTGTATATGTCCAATCTCATCAAATTGTACACATTAAATACATGCAATTGTTTGTACATCAATTATCTCTCAATAAAACTGTTAAGAAAATTTAATTTTAAGAGGTCTCCAGGTGCCCCACAGAAGACTTCAACCCTTTCTGAAAGCGTGTGACTTCAGTAAGTGAGGCACATCCTAACCTCAGCACCTTAAAAGAAGCAGCACTAGAGAATGGATGAACGAGGGTGGCTCTGAGTTCATAAACTGTCAGACAGCAATGAAAGCTGGCCACAAGTAGGACCCTCACTACTCTAGAGGCTGAGGCAAGAGGACGTGAAGGCAGTGGCCCAGGCCGCCTGCATGCGCCCAGGGGGACAGACAGCTCTTTCTGCAGAGTGTGGACAGTACCGGTCTCAGCAGCCAGCACCTCTCCACCCTAGACCTGGAGAAACACCCATGACTTGTCCCCTGTCCCCTAGCTGGCTGAGTTCCCCTCCTAAGAAGAAACAGGGATGGGGCAGAAGCAGCCTGAACACACATACCTGGGGATAGAAGGCCTCGTACCCACATAGACACCCAGGCCCCACGAGGAGCTAGCCCTTCTCAGGCCAGGGCTCTTCCTCCAACACTGAATCTGACACTTCAAATCCTGAGGGTCCTGTCAGGCCTCATCATCCCCTCATACTCGGTGAGGAGAGGAATCATGGTGGCACACTGTGTGTTTAGCTAGTTCTGATGGAACCCCATCATTCGAAGCCTGAAAGGCCTAACCCCGCCTTACAGCTGTCACCTAGAGGGGGAAATGGTTTGCCCAAGATCACTGTGGCTCCCATCAACAGCTGAGCAGGTGGGAGCAGGGTAGTTCCACGCCCACTGGGTACCATGCCAGAGATGGAGCTCCACGGTGGTGCTTTCTCTCTTATTTTAAATAAATTCTCACAGCTCATTGCTGACCCCCAGAATGCTTTTCAGAGCTAAGCAAAATAATTTCAAATTGAGTCCAGAGGTTCCAGAAAGAAATGCAGAGTCCCACCCCATCACTCCTCTCGAGAGCCACCACACCCACCCAGACTCAGCCGCAAGGGCTTCCACACCTCATGGCCCTCCTCCTTGCTCTCTTCACACCCACCTGAGCCTTTGTGCTTCCCAGAAGTCAGCCTGACTTGTGCCAGGCTCAGGGGAACCTGGGCTGCATGGCTTTCTGTCTTCCCTGTGATCACTAACTCAGGACATGTCACAGTCTCCATCAGGAGTTCCTGAACAACTGTGAAGACCTCCCACAGCAGCCCCCCAGGGCCCCAGAGCAAAAGAGGGTATTGGCGGTTTCATGTCCCCTTGGGGGCAGAAGGCAGGGAAGGAAGGCCTGTGGAAGTCTGTCCCAGGTAAGGACAGGAGAAGGAAATACTGGGCTTTATTCCTTGCTGGAAATGGAAGAGGAAACAGATGAGAAGTGGGGGTGGGGGCTGAAGAAGGGCTGCAGAGGGGAGAGGGAAGAGTGTCGCGACCCCTCACCGGCAAGGGAAAACACGACACAGGATTCTTCTTTCAGCAGTTTATTCAGGCCTTGATTCAAGTATCATCTTCTAGTGACCCCCCGCCGAGCGCCCAAGCACAGCCTAATAAAGCCTCCCGCATAGCAATCCCAAGCTGCCACGTGGATCTCTCTCATAGGGTGGTAAGGGATTGCGTGCCAATTCTCCATATAAGGAGTTGTTTATCACAGGCCACAGTGGAAGCCGGCGCCATCTTCTAATGGCGGCCACGGTCTATAAGAATGGCTTACCACAGTTCCCCCTTCTATTTTATAAAACAATGCAGGCGAAAGTAGAGGTCCTATCCCACTGTGCAGAAGTGGCTGCAATGTATGGTTCAGTCCTAAGGAGGGCCCTTCCCTAGACCTGGTCCCATATCAGCCGACGCCTTTTTTCGTAGGGCGGGGCGTGGACGTCAAACCCGCATGCAATAGGACATGCTTTCCTTGAGGTCCGTTGAGGGATCACTCAAGTGCAGTGCCTTGCCTCGCATCCTGCATCGTGATGACGGCGAGAAGTAGGATAACACAGGTAGCCTGGTAGTAATGACAAAATTTAAGTTGGCAACACAATCCCTAAACCCCAGAGGAAGGTAAAGAGTCTGTAGCCGAGAAGAAAGACCAGTCCTGAAACCCATCTGCGTGCAATGGTAACAAGACCTGCAGAGTGCAAGGGCTATTCAGCACTGGGAGAGAATAAGGAAGAGGACATGCCAATCCCAGTGCAATGTGAAACTAACTTGGGGTGCAATGGCCATGCCCAGAAATCACTGTTTAAGATGTGCAAGCCAGATTTGTGGAGAAATGCCATTTTCTAAGGCCGCAAGAGCCTGTACGATCATAGCCTTCTCTTGCGCATGGCGAGTTTTAAGGCGACAGAGAAGCCACAAACAAAGTACAACACCGAAGCAACACATTGCCCCAAAAATGCCCACTCCCACCCATTCCTTAAAAAAGGAAAAGGCAGAGGATAGCCAACTGGTGAATTGACCCAAAGTCACTGGTTCGACACGGGTGCTATTCAAAACAGCAATCTGAGTTAGTTGAGACTGGATCAAGTTTTCTGCTTCCATGGACCAGGTTCCGGATAGATACTCCCCGATGATGCGGGAGGCATTTCTGGAATCATAAAATCTGACAGAGGTTATACATAAATGTGCACGTTGATCAATACAACCCAAATGTACTAGGTCAGACAATTCCTCAACTTGAGCTTGAAGCAGATCTATCCTTTGATTAGCAGCCAAAATCCCAGATAGAATGTGTTGATTAATTCTACTTTGAGATTCAAGTATGGTGGATGTTTGTTGAATAACCTGATTAATAGTGGCAGCAGTTTGTACCTGGCTGGCCATGGCTACTCCAGCTGTAACTGCTGCAGCAGCAGATACCGCCACAGCTGTCACTATAGCTGCCGTAATTCCAAAATCTCTACGGGCTCTAATCAGTTCAACAATAGGAAAAGACTCTGGATCTGCAGTAACCGGGATCGGGACAAAGGTTGGAATTTTCATAACCATTGCCATAGTCCAGGAGCCATTCCAACACTCAGACAAATAACAGGTAATATTAGAGCAATTAAGCATCCCCTGTGATGTATCATTAGCCAAAAGAAACAGGAACGGAGATTGGAGACAGACTGCTGCGGAGGGTAATGTAGCATTAGATAATTGTGAATTATTTGCAGAAATTTTAAGCCTCCTACCTCGCTCCGAGTCTTGGGTACTGCCAGAAACATTAAACAGCCAACTTTGGACTCCTAATATTTCCCTGGGGAAACACAAGCGCGGACTAGACTAGCCCAATCTGAGGGAGTCATGCAAAATCTAGTAAGTCCCTCCACCTGAGTGAGAGTGAAAGCGGCATCTATGCCATAAGTGCGGACAGATTCTGCCAAGGTTTTAATTATCTTAAAGTCTAAAGGCTCATGATATCTTCCCCTGTTATTGTCCTGAAATACAGGGTATGCAAGTCCCATATCTGTATTAACTGTCCTCCAAACTTGTGCATGAAAAGATCTCCCGGAACCTTGGCTCCCCCCCACATACGGAGGTGGGGCAATCGGCACCATATCTTCTTCTAGATATTCTACCTGCTCCTCCTCAGAGTTTTGTTGACCGATGTTAACTCCCTTCCCCTTCTTACAGTAGGCCTGCGTGCCCTGTGTCTCCTTTTTCTTCTTTTTCATTTTTATCTTATGTAGTTGTTGTAACAATATATCAAGGTCCTCAGAACTCTCTGAGTCGCTTGTGTTCTCAGGCGTTTTTAATTCGGTCAAGTCTGGGTAGAGCCTTCTCCTATTTTTATCTTCAGGCTCTTTTGCCTTCTCACTACTGTTACTTTTAATACTCTCTGCCACTTCACTACATGATCCTTCAGATTTTTCCTCATGCAGTTGCTCAAGAATAGCTTGACCCTCACTCACAGCTTCCTGGCATTTACCATCTGTTATACATCCTCTAACTAACTTCCAAAGTGGTATAACGCCACCCTCTAAGGTGCCTTGCTCACGAGCGAAATCTAGATCTTTCCCTAATTTGTCCCAGCTAGGAATCGTAAGACTCCCTGAAAAAGCAAACCAAGGAGCCGCTATATCAGCTTCTCTTAAAAACATCTGCAAAGTACTCTGCTTTATCTTAAGTCCTTTTGAATGTAACAACCCATCTAGGGCCAACAAAATTGGGCTTGAAGAAGCAACGCCCATAATGTTTTTAGAGCTATAAAGAAAGTGAAAGTACAAAAGTCCCCGCTCTCTTCCTTTTACAGGGGAGCGTTCCGTTCTATGAATTCCCCGCTCTCTTCCTTTTACAGGGGAGCGTCCCTTTTTCCCGCTCTCTCTCTATTTACAGAGAGAGCGCCCCGCTATTTGCTTGCGGATTCCCACTTTACCTGGGAACTTACCGGTGCACCACCCTGACTGCTGAAAGTTCTGGATCCTGGGTTCGAGGAATATAATTCCCCGTCCTGGCCACCAATTGTCGCGACCCCTCGCCGGCAAGGGAAAACACGACACAGGATTCTTCTTTCAGCAGTTTATTCAGGCCTTGATTCAAGTATCATCTTCTAGCGACCCCCCGCCGAGCGCCCAAGCACAGCCTAATAAAGCCTCCCGCATACCAATCCCAAGCTGCCACGTGGATCTCTCTCATAGGGTGGTAAGGGATTGCGCGCCAACTCTCCAAAAAAGGAGTTGTTTATCACAGGCCACAGTGGAAGCCGGCGCCATCTTCTAATGGCGGCCACGGTCTATAAGAATGGCTTACCACAGAAGAGGAAGTGGAGAGCTGGTGTGCAGAGAGGAAGTGAAGAGAAGTCCTGGGGCAGAGCAGAGGGCCCCCAGGACACGGCCCAGCCTGCAGCATCTTGTGGAGTCCAGTGGGGGGTGGTGCAGGGGTATCCTGTCCCTCTCCTGGCCTGCCCTCTACCATCCCTGGGAGCAGCAGAAACCTGGGCTCAGAGGCCCTGGGGACAGCAGCAGGGCCTACAGGACACAGGCACCTGGCTAAGTCCACTGGCCTGTGGCCTCTCAGCTGTTCTACACGAGGCAAGGTTGATGGACAATGGCCACAGCCCCCCCTCCGGGGCCTTCTGCCTTTCTCCTGTTATTCAACATTCTGAGGTCATCTGACCAGGCCCTTCAGTGAGGGGGGTGGGCAGGGAGCAGGTCTCAGAGGAGGCGTGGGTGGGAGCCCTGTGGAGATTGGCTACTGGGCTCAGGCCACTGCTTACCCGGGAAACCTGAGCCCGCCATCCACCCTGGGGGGGCCCAGTGGGCAGTGTGCTGGGTGGCTGCCAGGGCCTTGAGCCTCTGTGCCTCACTGCCTTGGCCACAATGACTGGAGCTTCAGGCACTCGGCCTTCACCTCGTCACGTACCGGTGGGGCCTCTTCTCACCCACCTGGGTCCCTGCAGAGCTCTGGGTGTTTTACCAACTAGGCTGCTTTCAGCAGCAAAGAACCAGAAAAACTAGGAGTTGGACAGAGTGAATCCTGAGGCCTTGGAGTATGGTGGGTCTTGGTAAGGATCTATGGCCTCAGTTTGCCCAGAAGGGGTTCCCACCCCACCCACCGAGGTAAGCTTGAGGAATAACTGCCCGGCTGGAACTTGAATGGGGCCTTCTAACTCCACACCTTGAGAGAAGAGGGAGGCCAGGAGAACGTTGGTGCTATGGCCCCTGCAGACACCCCTCCCAGATCTCCAGGTGTCACTGCCCCACCAGGGCCTTCCACCTGCTCTGTCCTCTGAGGCATCCACGTTGCTGATTCTTGTGTGTCTGTTATTGGGTGACACAGTACTGCCCAGGGGTGGGTGTGGGGGGCTAGGCTGAAGACTTGCTGCTCTAAAATTGTAGAGTCAAATTGGTAGGAAAATGGGTTTTATTCAAAGCCAGCTTTGAATGATGGTGTCAGAAGCTTACTGATTCAAAAAGTTCCACCTTCAAAACCCCTGAATGAGCCAAAGCTTTCAAAGGAGAAGAGGCAAAAGATTGCAGAATCACATCGGTTACACATCCACGTTTTTACATACTAGTGTCTGTTGTATTCTGCTGTCTTTCCTATCCTCTACTATCCCCCGTCGTTCCTAATTTCAGAGGCCCCCCAAATTCAGCCTGTTTCCTGCTGTCCATCAGCACGTAGGCCCAAAAGCTGTGATTAAACTGCACTGCGCCTTCACCCAGCCCAGAGCTAGAGGATCAGTCTGGAGGCCCAGCAGCCTTAACCCAAAGATTTTTAAAAGTAGAATTTAGGACACTCAAGACAATGTTCCAGGAAACAGGGCCCCAGAGGGCTGCCCTGGCTCCCAGCTTCCACAAGAGGACCCGTCTCGCCTCTGTCCTTTCTCCTTGGACCATGGGACCCGAAGACAATGAAGTGCCCTGAGAGAGCAAGATAGGATAGCCAGTTTGCTGGCCAGTTTGCTCTTTGCACAAGACCTGAGAGGGCTGGGGCCACGCAGGTGACCTGCACCAGACAATCCTGAGGTTCGAGGAGGGCAGCTAGGATTTGGGGGTAAGCCCCAGTATGCACTCATTTCATTCCAAGTGCTCATTTCTAGAGGGAAACCTCACTCCAGCACCCTGATGGACCATCTCCAACCTCCCAGCATAACACCTGATGGAGAAGCAGCTTTGAGAGGGAGAGAAAAAATTACAAGAGGATTGGCAGAATACCAGCTGATAGCCTCTGTTACTGACTGCTTGTCCTGGCAGGCCTTCTGGAAAGCTCCCCACAAACAGACCATTCTCATCAGTCCCCTCTGCAGACAAGGAACACAAGACACAGGGCGTGGAAGGGACTTGCCCAGCCGCAGAGCCATGGTGGTGCAGGTGGGATCTGAACAGCAGCCAGATTGACTCAAAGCTTCTGCTGCCCCCAGATGTGCCCCTGGCACCTTGCCCCAGGGTCCCATCTTACCAGCAGTGCCTGCCTCCATCCTGGGCAGAGCACCTCCTGGGGCTCTCCAGCCCTCCCTCAGTCCCTCAGGAGACTTCCTGTAGCCAGAGGCAGTCCCGCAGTTGGTGGGTCCCTCCTCCACCCCAGCCCTGAGCCTCTGGTCACACTGCGAGTCCCACGCCCTCTGAGACCTGAAGGCCTGGACCTCCAGCCCTGGCAAGGCTGACCATGAGGACACTGGGCTGTGGCAGTCGGGTCCTGTATGTGCACATCATCTGCGCCCCCTCAGTAGGCACCAGCCGCCCCTAGCAAAAGCTCTGGGACTGAAATAAGGGCCGAGCTCCACAGTGAAGTAAGTTTGGGAAATCCTAAGTGAGAGCTCTACGGGCTTCTTAACTACAGGGTTTCTCAGAGATTTAAAAGGCTAAATGCTCCCTGGTCACCTGAGAGAGGATGAGATAATGTGCAAATGTGACAGCTTCTCAAAAGCTGAAGACCTGGTGCTTTAGTCAGTCTTTCATCGCCGTGAACCAAGATTCCTGGCAAGAACAGTTGTTCTAAGTTCAGAAGAGAAAGTCTTTGGGCTCCGATTCAGAGATTCAGTCCATGGCCAGCCACTGCATTGCTCTGGGCCCCAGGTGAGCAGAACATCCTAGTGGGAGGGTGTGGCGGAGGAGCGCTGCTCCATTCATGGCAGCCAGGAAGCAGAGCAAGGGGAAGTGGGGGAAGGGGTCACAGGGGAGATGCTTTCCAGGGCACACCCTCAGTGACACTCCTCCTGCAGCCACACCCCACCTGCCTACAGGGCCACCCAGTCAATCCATTCAAACTAGGAAGGACTGCGTAGGTTACAGTTCTCATAATTAATCAGTTGACCTCTGAATATTCCTGTATTAACACAGGCATTTGGGGGACGCATATACCCAAACTATAACAGATAGACTGTCTCAAGGGAACCCCTTTGAGAATCACGCTCAGAGCAACCTGTACCATCATTTGTCCTGGTTCGACACAGAGTCTCTGTAAGGCTTCAGCCGTGTATAGTGCAGGAAGGAAGCACTGAGACCTGAGTCTTCGTCCACTTCTGTCCTCAGGTTGGGGTTCGTTCAACTTAATCCCCTGCTGCCTTCTTCAACTTGAACTTGTTGACAACTTGTGGACACTTTACATTCTGGGAAACCATCCCAGATCAGCCAGCTGAAGAAAGGGGAAATCAGCCTTCTGGGTAATCAAGAAGCTACATCATCACTTGGGAAATTCTGAGCTGGGTGGGAGCTATGAAAACTTTTAGTGGCTTAATGCCATTTGGCACCTGAGTAATGAGAGAACGTCATACCTTGCCGATTGCAGGATCCTTCATAGCCACTTCATTCAATCCTAACAACTCTGTATGGTGATTAAGGCGAATATGGCTCTCATTTGCTGGTTCTAGAAACTGAGAGCCAGATAGGGGTAAGTGATCTCTCCAAAGTCACAACAGCTATTGGTGGGTCTAGCTGAAAATGTGAGAATTAAAAACACATACCATTTTATTAGGAAAAAACCTATAACAGGAAATCTTCAGACGCATTCTGGCTAAACCATTAAGCTTAGAAAAAATATCTCTTTTTGGCATTCAAGAAAAAAAAAACTAAGGAGAAAAATAAAGTAGGTTTCAGATGTCTTTCCAGCAGCAATCAGAGCCAGAACAAAGGAAAAATGTCTAGAAGGAAAAGGAGTATGATCCAGGTGGACTCCACCCAGCCAAAGTGGGGTAGGAGCAGGAAGACAAGGGCCCACATTCCCAGGCATGAAAGAACTCAGAAAACACAACATCCGTGAGCTCTCTGAAAGATCTGATCGGTGGTGAAGTCTTGTTAACTAAAGGATTAATCATGATTTTAAACAATCCTGTTCAACATACATGGCCTGATGGGGAGCGCAGAATCTACCTGGGTACAGGAATGCTAGGAATTGAACACCCAAGATTATGGCTTCAGAATGCACAATAAAATGCAACAAACTCTGACAAAGTTAGAATAACACACGCATCAAAGTTGGGAGGAAAAAGAGGGCAAGATAGAGAACGCACCTAAATATTAATATTTTGTCTTTCCTTTAAAATCAATCATTCCTGTTTACATGGAAATGCACATTTATTCAAAATAAATCCAACTCCTTAAATTCCCTTAAATTCAATGGCATCCTCTAGGAATCTATTTCCCTTGCAGGGAGGAACAATTATCACAAGTATGGTTTGACCTAAACTTTTGTTCCTATAAAATTCATTTAAAATTAAACATAGTACTTATTTTTAAAACAATTTTTAAAATTTACTTATTGGTGTAGATAGACACACACAATGCATTTCATTTTTATGTGGTGCTGAGGATCGAACCCGGGTCCCACCAGTGCTAGGTGAGCGCTCTACTGCTGAGCCACAATACCAGCCCCAGTACTTATTTTTTAAACATGTTAATATGAGACTGTTTACATATTGTTTTCATCTGTCTCAGTACCTCATGCCTTCTCTCTGCTTCTTGCTTCTTCTAGATCCTTCTTTCTTCCCATGTACAGACAGACATCTGGCATGATGCCAATGAAATGTTATTGTCAATTATATTTAGATAGTAGCACCTTGGTAATTTGTTGCTTTCTTCTTCACTTTTTTTTTGGTACTACATAATTTTTATAATAAGTAGTTTTATTAAAATAACTGCATACTTAAAGAAAATAAGTAGATGGACACAGATACACCCAAACAGATTCACCCCTAAGAAAGAACAAGTGAAGGTAGATATACCAAAACCAGAAAAAGTGGAATCTAAAATTAAGAATTAGTCAGAGTAGTGAGAAACATTACAATAAGATAAACAACACACTTTGTAAA